GTTCTGTGAGCTGCACTGGATGCCACCTGGTTTCCAGCTGGGTCCCAAGCTGTTAGTCTGACCTGCGCTGCGAATGCTGGAATAAGCCGTTCCCATCTCTGCTCTGCTCCCCTGGGGCCGTCTCTCGGGCATTTCCGCGGTGCTGGCACCGCAGAAACAGATTCCGGCGGTAGCTTTGCTGCAGCGACAGAAATGCAAGGGCTCTTTCAGGCCAAGCAGGGCCCTTACAGCTGGGCACAGGCTCTTCCAGAGCCCCGCTGCAGCAGCACCATCAGCTGGGGACTGCCTCACACGGGTGCACGAGGGGACGTCTGTTCTCTGCCAGGCCTGCGGCTCCCTCTCGTGGGTGGTCGTGGGGCCGGCTGGAGGCACCGTGCGTTGAAGTAATGCCGCTCAGTTCACAGGCTGGAGGGGAAAGGGGCCAGGCCCTGGGGTCTGTGCCCCACCCAGGGCCTGGCTACCAGGGAGAAGAGACTTCAAGCCCATAGAGGAGCCAGTCCAATAGGAAGAGGCATCCAGGTGACAGGCACCAGCCCTGAGCTGGGAGGATCGAGGGTTGAGCCAGCTCCTGAGGCTGACTGTGCAGCGGTTTGATGCTGCCCTTACAGAGCAGCTCATGTGTGTGCCCACAGCACAGCCCCCTGGGATCACTCCAGCTGCAGGCAGCTCTGCTTGGCTGTGGGGAAACCCAGCAGCCTGCCCCCCCCCCTCCCCGACATGCCTCCCAGCCCCCGAGCAGGGTGCTGCACACGCCAGGGAGAACACGCTCCCTGCACGCACCAAGGAGGGGGAATCTCACCAGACATGACACAACCCCACACCAGCCCCCTCCAGCCCGTCGGCATGCTAGAAGAGGAGACAGCTACGGGCAGGCCCCCTGACCGCACAAAGATCCAGTCTCCCTGCTGCCACTCTTTAAGTCCTGACACATTTAACTCTGTTGGGACCAGCGTGTTCCAGTCTGCAGGGACAAGTGGATTCCCTAAAGCTGGGTTGAGTCGCATGTTGACCAGGCCTTGGTAGCCCATGAGGCCAGTCTAAGGCCAACTGGTCCTAGCCAGTAGGACTGTTGCTGCTGGTCCTCAACCCAAATGCCCACATACCAAACCAGGGCAGCTGGGGCAGCCTTCCGCTTGAGCCTAGAGCAGAACTTGTAGCTAAAGCTGCAAAGCACCTGCTTTGGTCATCACGCCAGGCTCAGACGGCAGCACAGCAGCGTAGCAGGCAAACTGAGTTATGCTATGGCTCTTAGCCATGGTCGAGGCCTTCCCAGAACTAAGCAATGCAATTGTACAAAGTGCCTTATATAAGGCATTGGAAACAGTAAGTACTGTGATTGGTACAGCCAGCGAAACCAGGTACAAGTTTTCCTAAAAGAAAACGAAACCAAAAACCGAGTAGGACTGGAGTACCTTATTTAAAAAGATAAGGTATGGGACCTAAGGATTGGACAATTTGGGATGAGAAAGTTACAAAAGTAACGAACAAAGAAAGGAAAAGCACGCGTTTGTGCTGTAACTCTGGGGAGACAGGCAGCCGTGGTTCTTTTCCTGAATAGCTGAAAAGCCAGAAACAAACATCCCACACGCCCAGCGGAGGACTTGAGACCAGTACTACTGGTGAGGGAGGTTCGCAGCTGCTGCTGCCTCCTCTGGATCCGACCATTGCTGTGGGATGCCTGGCTCGGTGCCTAGGGAGCAAGCTGGCTGGAGCTGGGGGCACACGAGGGCATGGCGATGCTGGCAGGAGCAGCGGGAAAGCTGAGCAAAGCCTGTTTCCTTCCCTTCAGCACATCAGCAGGGTGGAGAGTTCTGACCCCCACCTAGGGTCAGCCCCCGTGGACCTGAGGGCAGGCAGGTGGGCTGTAGCTCTGCAAGTGGCACGTGATGCTCCCACTCCATGAGCTGCACTGGATGCCACCCAATTTCCAGGTGGATCTCAAGCTGTTAGTCTGACCTGCAGGGCCCTATGCGGCTCAGAGCCCCTCGAGCTGCTGCTGTCCCTGTCAGGGGGAACTCGCCCCATCCAAACTGCAGGAGCTCCATGCTGGGCCCTGGCCGCAGAGCCAGGTGCGAAGGGTCCAGGCTGCCTGCCTGCAGGATGTGCTGCAAGTTCTATCAGAGATGGGAGGCAGAGCTGCCGCTGGTGCTAGCACTGTCCAGCAGCAGCTTTCAGGGAGGGCTGCTGGGCACTGCAGCAGCCACGGCCCCAACGAGAGGACACGCACCTCCATGCCTCCTGAGAGGTGCAGAGGCAGGAAGAGGTTTGGTGAGGCCGGTATGAGAAGCCAGAGCTCCTGACTAGGGCTGTGCGAAACGGAAGTGTTACATTTTGACCGGCGTTTCGACAGAACAGCGTTTTGTTTCGACTTGTGTTTCGAGTCCAAACGGCTGTTCCATTTCGTTCCGTCAAAACGTTTTGACCCTGTTTTGACGTTTCGCCCATAGGATAGTAATGGTCCCAAACTCCTGGAAGATCGTTTCAGGCTCAACATTAGGAAAAACTACTTCACAACTAGGGTGTCCAGACTGTGACCGTTACTCCTAGTTTTCACCAAGGGTGCCCTGGTGAACAGTTGTTCACTGAGCCCTAGATGTACAGGGTCACCCATGTCATGAGTTCTGTTTGTCCACAGCTTGAGGTGCAGCTTCCCCCAAAGCCCTGTACTTATCTCCTTGAAACTTAGCAGGCTTTGTGGCCTCAGCAGGGGCTAGCATGCCTGCGGTTTTGACCCCGCTGCGGATCAACATATACACGACACGAGTTTCGCTTTCAGGAATTTGGGGTGCAGTTTCTCCGAACCCCCTCCACCTATCTTCTTGACACTTGCCACGCTTTATGCCCTCAGATGGGGCTACCATTTCTGCAAGTTTTATCCAAATCCGGCCAGAAATGACAAAGTTATAGGCCATTTTGACCTTCCCCATTATAGCCCATGGGTGAAACGTTAAAACAGCGTTGAAACGTTTCTATTTGTCTCATTTTGTTTCGACCATATCTGTTTCGTTTCAATTTTGCTGTTTCGACCTCGAAACAAAACTGGTGGCAAAATTTCGTACAGCCCTACTCCTGACCCCTTTCTGCTCCTTGTTTTGGCTGCCAGACAATCTTCTCAGTGCGTTTCTTGGAAAGCCTCCAGCTCTCCTACCCCCAAAGGAAAACCTCCGAGGGCCTGAAGAGTATGAGGCCTGTGAACCTGTGGTAGGCCCCGCACCAGCTGGTTGTGCTCCTTTCCTCTTCTCAGAGCCTCTTGTTTGAAGGACAGCTGGTAGCACCAGTCTGCTGGCAGGGTCCCCTTCCTCTGTGTACCAAACCGCAAAGCAGGGAAGGGAAGCAGCACTGCCTCGACTAGGAGCTAGAAACCCACAGCATGAAACAGCAGTAAAGCAGTGTCAGAAGTACCTGCTTTGTTAGGCACCGGGGGGGGGTCATAATCTTGCTGCTACAGGGTGTCAGAGCACAGGCCCCTCCACTGACAAAGCATGGCGATCGGCTGCAGTCCCAAAAAGGCACACACTTCAGCCAATCAGAGCAGCTCAGCTAACACTCCTCCCCCTCACCGTGCCAGGGAGCTAGCTGGGGCAGGCTGCCTGCTAAGTACTCTTGCTCCCAGCATCAAATCACACCTCTTGGCACTGCTGGGAGGAAGCTCGCAGCCAGTCTAGCTCTGCTGACCTCCAGGCTGTGCCAGGAAGGTGGTTTTCAGAGTTTGGGGACCCACAGGTATATACATGTCCAAGCACTTGCATGCTGCTGGCCCACAGGCACTGCCCCAGCTGCAACTGATGGCAGGAAACACTGAACGAGACCCAGTGCCATTAGTGTCTTCGGGTTTTATTACGGTCCAGGGATCAGCAATAGCTGAGAGGTTGTTATAGTCAGGTCCGCCAGCCCGAATATGGGGCCAAGCAGGGCAGGAGCTTAAATAAGTTACAAATCAAGAGTCGAAACCACTTGGAGAAGTGCAAATAAAAAGCGCAGACGGTTGGATTTTTAGAGGCACCAGACACTTGGCTTCACAGGAGGGAGCAGGGGAGGACGGAGCTGGCCGCAGCCACTGGGCGCCTACCTGCAGCGTGTTCCTACTGAACAGGAAAGTGCAGGCCCTGCTGTGCAGTGCTCTGATCCAAAGACGGGAATTCTGCGTGCTGGATGCTGGCTGGCAGGTCCCACTGCCCTTCTCTCCCACGAGACCCATGTGTCTGGTGTTGCCCATGGCCGCAGGCTGTGTTTCTTGCTGCTGTCACTCTGCCACAGGCTTCACCTGCTTGGCCATTTCCAACTGGGTCAGTATTTCGTCCCACTGGACAAACTGCTTCGACAGGAGCACAGTCTGATGGTGGCTCTTAAGGAAAACACGGGGTGGGGGGGACGGACCTGAGGGGCTAGGATGATCTTAGAACGGACCAGTGAGCCAAGGGGCCAGTCTGAGCACTGCTGCTCTTTAGCCATATGCGCAATTCTCCCACAAGGTCCCATAGGACAGGAATGGAGGCTGGGGTCCAGCCTGCGAAAGGCTATGGTGACATGCAGCAGCAGTAAGGGGCAAACTGCCTATATTAAGTAGACCCCATGGAAGCCCCTGTTCTGAGGGAGGCCAAGACAACGAAGTGACATTGCAAGCACTCATCTCCCTAGACCTCCCAGCCCAGGGATCCACTCTGTCACGTGGCAATAAGGGCTTTCAGCTGGACTCTGCAGGGGACAGAAGCTCGGAGTGCAATTATACCTCTGACTTCGCTCAGGCAAGCACCCGGCTACACCAGTGGTTTGTCAGCCTGGACCAGTCTTCTGCTCTGGCGAGTAGCTGGCAGAAAAGGGGGTTGAATGTAGGCTGCTCCATGGCTGTCATGAGCCCAACTCTCCCAGGCAGGTCAAACATCAGCCCAGGTGCGAGCTGAGATCCCCCTCACATGGACAGGGATGGACCTGCACAGTGGCATCTGCGTTCAGATTCTCAAGTAACAGAGCCACACAGCTCCGCTTGTAACAGAGCAGAGGGATATGGTCCTTCAGGCCACACCTTGCTGTGCCAGGCGCTCCTGCTTCCATTAGCTGGGAACTGGAGCTAAATCTGCTGCCCCACTACTTGACAGGCTAAAGCAGCGGGGGACAACCTTTTTGGCAGGCACATCGCAAATTAGCCCTGCACCCCCCACCACTGAGTGTCACTCTGATTCCTTGCCTGATATGCTGCTCTGCTTCCTACCCCAATACCGCATGCCACGCACAGACTGCCCGTGTCACTGGTGTCATGGACTGGCCAACCCTGGGCTAAAGGATCCTAGTAGAGGGTGTCCCTGCTAGTTAATGACCCCAAAGTGAGGTGCCCAGCTGCCCACTGGCAGGGGCTGTGACTGCAGCACCAGGCGAAGGATACCATCTTGTTGTAGTCTTCTAGGAGCGCTTTGACGTTTTCAGTGACGGCTTCACACTGGTCCTAAAGGAAGAGAGCACTTGGTGAGCAGGCAGCAGTGCCAGCCGCACACTGACACGGCACTTCAGAGCATTTACCCACCCACCCCCGAAGGAAAGTTACTACCCCAGGGAAGCTGGGACAGAGGGATAGTGTTCTCTCAGGCCAGGGCCAAGAGCAAAACCCTCCAGTTCCTGGCTTCGATTTCTTTTTTTTGATCATCAAAATGTGATGACTTCTATCAACAAAAAACACAGGCAAAGGCTCCAGAGAGCACAACCAGAGCAACAGAGGGGCTGAAGTGATCTAACGTCTGTCTTCCCCTCCCCACCCTCTGTACCTTGCTCCTCTCCCATTGCCTGCTGGTCCCCCTTGGCCAGTTTACAGATAGCCACCAGATCCCCCCTCTGCCTTCTCTTGTGGAGGCTGAACAGGCGCTTTGGGCAGCAACCGTTTTGGACTCTGTACAGCAACTAACAAGGACTGCTCAAACCATCACAACTGCTATACAGCAGTAGTGCAAAGGCTGCAAGTAAGATCTGGGCCTTGGTATGCCAGATAAAGTATATATTAGGGAGTCACAGCCTTGTGAGCTTCCAATGGGGAGACAGACAAGCCCCAAGGGGAGGAGAGAATGGGGAGAGACTACGATGACACTACAAAGCAAGGAAGAATGGCCCAGTGGGGGCTCAGATCAGGGTTCAAATAGACAAAAAACCCAAACAACTCCCATGCAACAAAAGGCGAGTCCCAGCACTTATAGCAGGGGCGGGCAGTTATTTCAGGTGGAGGGCTGCTTACTGAGTTTTGGCAAGCCATCGAGGGCCGCATGACAGGCAGCCAGGGGCAGATAAATATAAATTTTCTAATTTTCGTGGGTCGGACAAAGTGGCCTGGTGGGCCCCACCCGGCCCCCGGGCCACATTTTGCCCACCCGACTTATAGTTTCATAGTTGGTCAGGTCAGAAGGGACATGAACAGATCATCAAGTCCGATCCCCTGCCAACCAGGAAAGAATGCTGGGGTCCAAGGACCCCGGCTAGGTGATTGTCTAGCCTCTTTTTGAAGACCCCCAGGGTAGACGCAAGCACCACTTCCCTTGGAAGTTGGTTCCAGATCCTAGCCACTGACTGTGCAGTAGCACCTCCTGATGTCTAGCCTGAACCTACTCTCAGTCACCTTGTGGCTGTTATTCCTAGTAACTCCTGGCAGGGTTTGGGGAAACAGGGACTCTCCCAACGACTGGGCAGTACATATTGAGGGCTATAGATTGTACAGAAAGGACAGGGTGGGGAAGAAAGGGGGAGGGGTTGCGCTCTATGTCAATGAGCAATATACATCGACCCTTATCAAGACGGAATCGGAGGAGGAGAAAGTAGGATTGTGGGTTAGGTTACATGGGGGGCAAGCAGAAAGGGATTTGGTGGTGGGGGTCTGCTACAGACCCCACACCAAGGGGAAGAGCTAGATTTGGGGCTCCTGAGGCAGCTCTCGGAGACCATAAAAACTAAGGAGGCGGTAGTCATGGGGGACCTAAACTACCCGGACATCTGCTGGGAGACGCAGACAGCAAAGTCCCACCGTTCGCACAGGTTCCTATCCTGTGTACAGGACCTCCACCTGACACAGGAGGTACACGGTCCCACTAGGGGGAATGCCATACTAGACCTGGTCCTGGCAACGGGGGATGACATGGTAGGGGACCTACAGATCAGTGGTCACCTGGGGGACGGTGATCACCAAATAATAGAATTCATCATAAGACGTCGAGGTAAGGTAACTAGTAGGGTGCTGAAGGCACTGGCTGACATCATTGCAGAGCCACTGGCGGGAATATTTGAATGCTCGTGGCGCACGGGCCAAGTCCCGGAGGACTGGAAAAGGTCCAGTGTGGTCCCCATTTTCAGGAAGGGAAGGAAGGAGGACCCGGGCAACTATAGGCCAGTCAGTCTCACCTCCATCCTTGGCAAAGTCTTTGAAAAAATTATCAAGGCTCACATTTGCGAGAGCCCGGCAGGACAAATTATGCTGAGGGGAAACCAGCACGAGTTCGTAGCAGGCAGATCGTGCCTGACCAATCTAGTCTCTTTTTATGACCAGGTTACGAAACACCTGGACACAGGAGGAGGGGTGGATGTCGTATACTTAGACTTCAGGAAGGCCTTCGATACGGTATCCCACCCCATACTGGTGAACAAGTTAAGAGGCTGTGACTTGGATGACTACACAGTCCGGTGGGTGGCGAATTGGCTGGAGGGTCGCACCCAGAGAGTCGTGGTGGATGGGTCGGCTTCGACCTGGAAGGGTGTGGGAAGTGGGGTCCCGCAGGGCTCGGTCCTTGGACCAATACTCTTTA